TTTTTTTTTTTTTTTTTTTTTTTTTTTTTCAAATTATCTATTTTACAGGGGATACGGTAGTCCAGGATTGGGAGTAGCTGCAGCGGCCGAAGCGTACGTTGCCGACTATATGCGTACTATGCAACATCAATTACCTCCGTTACCTCCTTACGCTGCGCCTCATCCTTACGATTCTTTACCTCCACCGCCACCGCCACCGAGGTACTACGATGGTCTACCCTTGCCTCCGGATTATAGCGCGGCGGCATCCGCGCTTGAAAAGCGCAGTTACGAAAGAAGTGTAGATGAATTTTTATGGAGAACAGCCAGTCGACATAGCCGACACAGTGATCATCGATCCTCTCGTGATCATCATCATAGATACAGGGATCGTAGATAAGACATTTTTTTTTTTTTTTTTTTTTTTTTTTTAATATAACTCATTTTTCAGTTCGACCACGTGTTCGTGAGGGTTTTCCATGGTATCGTGACATTTATGATCATGCGATAACAATTATTTTCGTTGACGAATCGAATCAATTTCATGTTTTTAATCGTAAACGTAAAGATTTCGGATAATGTATCGTTTTTTAAATAAATGAAATACGAATCTTTTTTTTTTTTTTTTTTTTTTTTTTTTTAACGAAACAATGAATTGACGATTATTAGCCTAATAATGATTGGTAAAAGTGATATATTTTAATTTTGTATAGCCACTTTTCATTTTATGGTAATGTAACAGAATAATATCGGAATAAACGGATGAAAGATGAAACGTATATTTCGAATTAAACGATCGATTAAATCCCGCATAGTATACGTTCGATGCTGACAGGAAACAAATTATGGTTTTGCTTTCCACTCTACAGTTAATTATCGCTTCATGATATTTATATTACGTATAAAATTCGAATAGTTGAAACGACGAGTATGATGTTTTAACGTAGATCACTGCCATTGATGGAAAAGTAACCTATACGATATATCGAAGAAGCGATGAACAATTATTTATAAATCGAATAAAAATGTTCCGTTATCCTTATTAGTTACGGAATCGCCGTAAGGAATTATAACTATAAAAATATATTCCTTTATAATATATCGTATGTTATTTCATAGTAAAACAGTAAAGAAACAAAAAAAAATGTTGGTCTTATTTTTTTTTTTTTTTTACCTCTTTCAAACTTTTTGTCTCTGCATTTATAAAATTAAGTTGGTTAGAAAATACGGAGATAAATATCAAAGAACTACAACACTCTCTTTTAAACGATACGAATTTTAATAGTGCGACATCCTTTTCAGAGGATCGTATCTTCCTACAGGTATTACTACACCTCTATTTACTAATCTATATATCCTATTAAAACGGTTATTTCTCTAGAGACCGTATAGAAGACGGATACAAAGTACACGGCACAATCTTGGATATACGTTAAGAAAATATTTCGTATCGCGAGACCCAAATTCTTTCGTTCCACTGACGATTTCCGACGCAAAGTATTTGCACCTGATAAAAGGTAAATAGATTACGATTAAATCCTTCGTATCTTTTTAACGCGCGTTTCTGTCTTCCAAGACTGAAGATAATACCGAATTTCAAACAGTTTTGCGAATGGCTTTTACGAAACGCTGAAGAAGACGAATTGCGCCGTATGTAACGTACGGTATGTAGCTACGTTTTAAAATTGGACGATTATACGTATGGTCAAATTAATTACATTTTTTACGAATTTCGACTCGACAAAGTCTATTTACCTACGTTGGAAAAAACGCGAGGGGCGGTAATACTAATTTCGACACGACCTGTAAATACTTTGCAAATTTAACGGAAAACATCGTTTTAAGAGAAATACAACATCGACTTTCAAATGTACGATTATGATTTTCATCCTTATCTTCGTTGCGTAGATAAGAAACGAATCGAACGAAACAAGATAGTTTTCCTAAGAGAAAGTATTTCTTTATTAATTTTTCTTTTTTTTCCGTATAAAAATGTATTCCACACCTACATTCGATAAAATTACATACCGCAGACGCAAACTTATCTATGTACTTCTATAAATACATGTAGAAATTAAAATATATTTCGTTCGAACTATAATTGTAACGAGACAACTTCATCCATTCTCGTAATATGTCCACGTATGCGTTACAAACTTAATCGGTGACAATCTCGTTGTTTACTTATTCGCGAACCGTATCAAAAAAAAAATGAATTATCGTAGCGCACGACACGATTGCTGGAATTCCTACGTATGTAGCTTTCTCTACAAACACAGGATTTTATCGAAATTAATTCAAGAAACGCGATGATCTCTTCTACCATCTATGTTTCCTTTTGAAATTACGAACCAAGTATTTCGATTCGTTCGATTAGTTCGTTCGCTGCTTATTCGGAACTGTTTGCACGTTGTCATCGTACACGATTAAACAGTCATCGTCCTCTAAATTCTTCTGTATTTTGGATTTCGATTTTACATGGCTGCTCCTACCTACGTCGTTATTACTGTCGTTTTCGATAATGCAAACGTCCTTTTCCACGTCGTTAACTTCTACTTTTTGTTTTTTCGAAGATACCGTTTCTTCGGGGGTTTCCATTTTACGTTTCTTTATTGTATCCGACGGAGTTTCGGTTTCGATGATCATTACGTTATCATCGGACAGGTCCACCTGAAACGATAACATTAACGATTTCTAAATACTTCACGACTGGAGAATATATGGATCTCGAAATTTCATCAACGATGTTTTACTTACTTGCCCGTTCGAGGTAGACGGCTTCACCACCGAATCGTTGTCCTCTTTAGGTTTAAGATCTTTTTCATCGGCCAACACGAGGAAATCTGGATTATCGTCTTTTACGTTTGGCCGTTCTCTGTGTACTACGGTTACGGTCAACGAATAATTCTGTTGGAAATCGTCGACTTTAAGGATAGTACCGTCTTTGATTCCTAACTGTTCTAACAATTTGTTATTATTCTCTTCGGTTTCTCCTTCTTCGCTGCTAATCACAACGGTACCGACACCGTCTATTATCACGTCTGGCGCTATCATGTTCAATCTATTCTTCAGTACTACTTCCTCTAATTCTTTGATCGTCGCTTTAAACGTGTCGATAGCTAGCACAGCCTGTGGCATTGGCGCGCAAACGTAGCATTTTGGATTCGGCGGGTTCACGTTTTTTTCCGGCACCAGCAACTGATTGCGGTGATTCATTTTTGAACGCAAATATACGGATTTACAAGCTTTCAAATTATTTTCCAGAATACGAAATGCGTGAAGAACAACTAAACCGGCAACTATCGCGTTCGTAGTTGCGATCGCTGGAATTATGTTACCTGCCATCGCTAGAAAAAGTTACGGATCGATTAAAAGATACGAGATAAAAGATCGTATAAAGATTAAATAATCGCTTACATTTTATGTCGAATCTTGTTTTTTGCGGTATACCGAAAATATAAGCTCTTATATTAGCGCACGCTGCGACGAAATCCATCGAGTGTTGATCATCTTTGTCCCAAATAAGATGATTGGACGACGATTTATCCGACGAAACTTTTACCGCTTTGCTCAAATTTTTCATCGATTCGGCAAATATCGTACCGCACTTGGAAATGCTCCAACGTTGTAAATCTTTTAACCCGGGTTCGTTAACTTCTTTGCTGCATCCTGGTACTTTGCGCAGAAAATTATTATGAAAATACATATTTCCTGTAGAACACGACGATTCGAAATATGATTAATAGCTATATACCTCCATCTGGCAATTCTTTCCAATTCAAAGGAGTAGGTGGTCTTCTCTTTTTCCACAAATTATCCATACTAAGTAAATATTTTATATCGTCGTGAAACAATTTTGTAAATAACTTTTCTGCATCGTAATTGCACGACTGTGCCCAAATTCTAGTCGAGACTCTATCTATATTTCCTTTTTCGTTCGATTCCGATTGCAATGCACCTTCGCCAGCGGCATCTACGAAACCATAATTTCTCGATACGCGAATGTTTACAGGAGATTTTAATACGCGTTATTTCTGCCTCGTTGTTACCTGTTGCTTCCGGATCAGCGGTATCCGGAGAAACATCCTGATCCGGATCTTCTTCGCCGAATAATTGACTATACGAAATTAAAAAGGTACGTATTTATATTGTTTCCTAGAACTATCGTAGAAAAATATTATTCACTCGAAAGCCTACTTGAATAAATGTTTTGCCCAAACTATGCAATGAATAGGTTCGCTAGGTGTATTGCGAATCGTACAGCCAGGAAAGGTCTTTTGCGCAGCTTTCGGTGTACATTCGTAACACTGACTTAAACCTTTCTTTATAAGTTCCACCTGTCCTTCGTAACCGGCAGTGCCAGATTCGATTAACGGCACGTCCGCTGCCAAACACATTCTATTCACGTGATTTCTGGCTGCTCTGTTATCGAGCGCGTTCATAACTAACGTGAACTTCTTAAAAAATGACACGCCATAATCGACGCTGTGGACATAAAAGAGGGTTATGTGACTACGGAAATCGTTGATACGCTAACGGTATAACAATACTCACGATGTAATACTGTCGTGATAATGAATTATTTTTGCATCGGGATTAAATGTTAACGCTGTTTCTTTCGCTACTTCGGCTTTTGATTTTCCTACGTGCTTCTTTTGAAATAAAAATTGTCTATTTAAATTGCTAACGTCGATTGTATCCAAATCGATCTGAAAAAGAAAACGCGGTTATGTTTTAAACGATGAAATATAATCGAAATAACAATATCATGAATCTTTGGCTCGTAATATAAGTGCCGGTATAAAATGACAACGCGTGCCAATAACGGAGGGAAAAAATGCATAGGTTAGAACACTTTTATATATGTAATACAACTTACGATTTCGATATCCACGAATCCTGTCATAACGAGATTCTTTAATATCTCGCATCCGATTCCACCAGCACCCACGATAAGTACTTTACTTCGAAGTATTGCATTTTGTAAATTTTCACTGAACACACCGTTGATGTTGGCCGCCATTTTTCACGTTAAACGTACAGTTCGTGATCCAACGTCAGGTTTCGAATAATTCAGGCGGAATCGGATATGCGTATGAAAATGTACCTTTCAGTGGAACGATAAGGCTGATCTAAGATCGATGAAAAATATAAAAAAGAGTTTCTATTTAATTTTCGCGTATAATCCGATACACGATGGAGAATAAATCGAAATTCTTGGACTTCCCCTGAGACGATGCTGTTCCTCTTCATATTTACTAAAAATGTCTGTATAATTCAGTTTTTATAAATGACTACGTTTCCATCGAGAGTTCAAATCGGGTCAGAGTCGGGTTAGAGTCGGGTTTCAGTCGCGGGTTGGAGTTGCGGCAGGGTTGAACATTACCAACTGCACAAAGTCAACTACCATATTCTGACATGTAAAGCTGAGCAATATTAATTGTACAATATCAAAATAACATACAAAAATTATTTCTCAGATTACAAGATCACCGACAAAAAGTAATAATAACCTCTTCTACACCAATTAATACAGCACGTGATACACAATGCAAT